ACATCAGAGTTTAATAAACTTGTTCATTGTCCCTGTTACTCAATTGATTTTGTATGACCTGGCCCTTCTGCATACCTAGTCCAGCGACCCTGGAAGAATACTCTTGGAAGATGCTTTCAAAGGCCTACAGGAAGGTCATTCTCCATTACCAATTGGACATGTCACTCCCAAGCTTCAACCCATCAAAGGTGGACACCTACAGGGGTGTCAGGGTACGCTCCCTGTCAGTCCGACCAGCGCGGCTCTGCCTGCCCTGGCCTCTGTGGCTTGGGCCCTTTCGCCCAGTGACAGCTTTCTGCTTCCCTGAGCCAACACCTACTCATCTTACAAGTCAGAGTCACACATCCCAGAGGAAGCCTTCCCAGCCTCCTCCAGGCCCCCCCACCACATTGGGCCTAGGTGCCCACTTCGGGGCTCCTGCAGCTACTGTGTGGCAGCCTGGCGTGTCCTCAGCCTGGACTGCAGTAATTTGGCATTAAAATCATCGTCTCTTCCACCCAGGAACTGCACAGGTGTGGGCACGGCACGCATCCATCATTTTTTTCCCAGGGGCTAGCACACTTTTGGTCCAGTGGGTTTTGAAAGAATGAAGGGCCAATTCAAGTGCTCTAAAACGTAAATCTTCTAATCACATAACCAGTGATTGATTTTGAACCTACAGGGATATTTCCCTGCTTGGGCACTTTCAAACTTACCAGGTCATACTCTGAAATCCCGTTCATTTTTACAGATTTATAACACCATCCTCAAAGGATGATTTGTCAGCACTGAGTATATAAGAAAGATTAAACACCTGGTTTCAAAGTCAATTCCAGCAAAAGGGAATGAGGCTTTCAACAGATGCCAGGCACAGTTAAACCCTTTATGAGTCAAATCTGTCTTTTTCATGGAATTTGTGTGACAACCAGTGATGTAGTTGCCATCAAGCCCATTTTACAGAGTAAGAAACTGAGGATCAAAAATTTAAGTTGTTGGAGTTAAGTGCCATGCACAAGTCTACCTAGAGAAAGATAAAAATTCCTGGCAGTCCAACCCAGGCTTGCATTTGGGGCAGATTCTATCACTTTCAAGTGTGGCTACCTTGAGAGAAGCAACATTGATCTCTCTGTATAAACTATGGCCTCAAAAGTGTAGCACATATTCAGTGGGGGATTTATAAATTCAGCTGTTGAACTGATGCAAAACATTGCAGAGAATCATCATATCTCCCTATGCACAGTGTATGCAGACACATGTGATTTCAAGTATGTATATGCACATACACCTTAAAGAGGGATTTACTGAAACATATGGGAGGGAAAAAAGCCTGGCTCAAATCTCTGCCAAGTCTGTAACTTTGGAAATGGTAAGGTAATTCCATCACTTAGTAAATTTTTTAAAATTTCCCTAAATTGCTGGATAGCTCCTTTTTTGCCAGGGTAGATCTAGAATCTGAGGACAGGTGATCCCACATTGAGCGGTTTAAAAACATTTGCTAAAATATAATGAAATTATTTCAACCTCACTGTTCTTAGGTGACAGTTCCATTTTCTGCCTGCGCTATTCCTGGCTCTGCTTGTGGAAGTTGGCATCTATCTCACCGATGCCCACATGGCACAGTGTCTGGGGGGATTTAGGCAAAGAGATCATGTATTGCACACTAGGGCAGGGATGGCTGTGATCATTTGTGAATGGCCCTTGTCTAACAGATGGGGGAAGAGCGTGCACCTTTCAGCACCTTGAAAGAGGCTGGGCCAGAGTACAGAGGCTACTGGCATGGGGTGGCCTTCCTTAGCAAAGGTAGCACCTGCTTACAAACACGGATTCGGAGCCAGAATGCCTGGTGCAAAGGCTAGAGACTCAGAGAGTGAGTGAAGAGTGGGCCCTCAGTAAATGCTCTCTGCATCTTACTTGCTGACCAGTCCTCTGCTTCCGTGCTGCTATGCAGCTGCACTATCACTCAGTTCTGCTGTATTACCACTACTATGATGCCCTGCTTCCCCTCCTTCCTCCCACTCCATCTTCTTTCTCTTCCTTTGCATTTCATTGTGTGTTATTATTTGTATCAAAATCATACGTGCAAATAATTCGAAGAATCAAACAGCTCTGCAAATTTTGTTACAACAGAGCAATAGTCCCGGCCACTTTCTCCCTCTACTTTTCTCTCTCCATGCACGTTTTTCTCTAAGATTGCCATTTTGGTTTTTTAGTTCCTTATCTCTAAATGATAGATGTATGTGTCTCCTTGACTTTTCATTTTCAGGGCCGATCTGTTGGCTTCCTGCTGCGCAAGATGAGGACTTAGTAGTCTTTCCTCCCCAAGCCCCGTGAGACACAGTCATCCTTTCCCTTCCCCCATTTCTCCCATTATTATTATTGTGTTGTTGGTCAGAGCAATTTTCAGGGTTTGGTGATCAGGATTAAGTACACTCTACGGAGATGATTCAGGTAGAAGCTGTATTGTACACAGACAGTGTCATGTACAACACTCTCATTCTTTGGAGTTAATAATAACTGTCTTTTACTTATTGTTGAGTTATTTTTTCTAAATTTCTCATTTATTCAATTCAGATTCTTTACCAACTAAATAAATCTCCTCTCAGGGCAGCCAGACGTATCAGAATTCAGCTCACTCCTCCCGAAGAAGTCTCTCCCAGGCTTTTGATCCACTCCAATCAGAACTGGTCATGATAAATGACCTTAGGCATAACTCACAACCTTGAACCTGAAATGCTGGAGATTTCCTAGGCCTCTCTTCTGCCGGAGCCCCAGCTTTCTGGTACTCATTTCCTCCTCCTCCTTCATTTAAAACTTTTGGTGGAGTTCATCTCTTTTACTAACAGCCACTTGAGAAAAGGCATATGAAGGTACATTTTTTGAGACCTTGAACTTGTGAGAACACACGCCCTTATACTTGATTGATCAGCACGTCTCCACAGCCTTCTAGCGTTTGAGAATCAAGACACTTCTGCCCCCTCAGCCCTTGTGACCTTTGTTCTTCTTCGGAAGCTTATCAGACCTGGATTTCGTTTTGACATATGTCTGTTTTAGTCATTATACTGTGTTCTTGGCAGGCTCTTCAATCTGTAAACTCATGTATTTCAGACCCAGGAGATTTTTCTTTAATCATTTCACTAATCATTTCACCCCCTAGGTTTTTTTAATCTCTGTTTCTGATGTGAACTTATTGTACTGGTCCCTAATTATCTTATATTTTCTCTCATTTTCTATTTGTCTTTTATTCCTACTGTATAAAGGATATGTTCACTTACTTCCAACACGTTTTGAGTTTTCATTTCTACTTTCATATTTTTAATTCATAAGAGCTCTGATGTTAATTTTCTGAATTTCCAATTAATACGGTGTTTCTTCTTTTACAATTGCAAAAATCTTTTCCCTCTGAAAACATCGATAGTTCTTTTTGATAGCTTTTTCTTCTTGTAGAGTCTCTGTTCAGTCCAGACTTCTTTTCTTTTCCCATCTGGTTATTTAAGTTTCAATGTTCGTGTTAGATTTCTGGACATCTGACAATCCTTGGTTGTCATTCATGTAGTTGGCAGCTTACATCAAGTGGGTATGGCTTGTTGACTGTGAAGTACATTCTGTGGGGTCGTGGGGAACCTGTGATGCATCATCTCTTTCCTCTTGGCTCCGTCACATTCCCATTGAAATCCCAGGTGTCTTGCCGAGAGGATGAAGACCTAGAGAAAACATTCTCTGAGTCCAGCAAGCTGGGGTAGGCAGTGTGATTTCAGCATCTGTTACGTGTATGTTTAGTTAGACGTGCCATTGTCAGGACAGTATCGCAATTCAAGCAGGCTTTGTGTCCTGGTGCAAACACTCTTCTGTTTCACTCTTTAGGGAATAAGCCTTCAGTACTCGGCTTGGACAAGGGAGAGGCAGCCATCCAGCTATTCAGGATGGGAACATGGATCTGGGGTTCTCGAGACTCCCTGAAAGGCTTTCAAACAATTTACCTTATTTTAGCATCTTTTTTTTTTACCCTCTGCCCTTTTTTTCCATAGATACTGACTGCTGTCAATTCCTCAGCCTTTGGAGGATTCTTCAGTTCTTGATTTTCCCCCAGTGATAACTTGGAATTCAGTTTCTAGTGCCCTAAGTTGTGCCCCACTCACTCTGTGTCTTTCCATTTTTCCTCAATGTTATGTTGTCATCCTCTCCAGTTTTCCCCATCTTCGTGAATTTATCATTTTTCAAATATTCCTTATTGTCGTTTCATTGGAGTTTCAGAGGGAGAAAATACAGGTGTGTGTGTGTGTGTGTGTGTGTGTGTGTGCGTGCATGCATGATTATCTACCATGTTTACCTACAAGTTCAAGTCCCAGTCTTTCCCAAGTCTTCCAAAATTGTGTAAGTTAGAAGATCAGCTAAGCACAGTGCAAGACCCTGGGTGAACAACCCTGGACCCTTCACACGAGCCCCTCCTCTGTGGAGAACGAGAAGACCGTGAATGCCACCACTGATTCCAAAGCCTCTCACTGGCCTCCTGCTTTGCTCACCTGCCTGGACGGGGCAGCGCTGTGCCCAGGCCAGGAGAAGCAAGGGCCCTGAGGAGGTGGCAGAAACTCAGCACTTACAGCCAAAGCCCCGAGCCAGCACCAACGCTTCCCGAGAGGAAGAAATCCTCCACGATGCACAGCACCGATTTCAAAGTACAGAAAGGAAGAGGGTGGAATCCCTCACACTCCTAACCAATGCTACTATGACCTGGAGAAACAGCTATCCTAGTCCCGCAAAGACGCACTGGAACAGAGACGCAAAGGCCAACCCGAGGCGCGTCTCTAAGCAGCGGGGTACACGGGCAGAGGGAGAGCGCCAGGGGGCAGGCTGTCTGCACAGCATGTAAACGCAGCGGTGCATCTGCTCCGCTCTTCATCACCTCCGCGTGGTCACAGGTGCAGAATGTGTCGAGCAAACCCTTGCCCACTGCTGCGGACGGCGCCTGTCACACTCTCCGCCCCTGGGCCCCTGCCCCTGGGCCCCCGCCGCCACCTGGTTACCTGTGGATGATGTGGTACCTCTGCAGGTACTCCAGGGCCAGGGCCAGCTCGCAGATGTACAGCTTCACAGCCGCCTCCGTGAAATGCACGTTCTGCTGCAGGTGGTAGCGCAGGTCCCCGCCCAGCAGCAGGTCCACCACCATGAACATGTCCTCCTCGTCCTGGAAGGAGTACCTAGGAGCACCAAGGGATGGAAAAGCTCAGGGACAGAGATCTAACGTCCCTAAGACCAATGCCCCCATTTTACAGAACAGCAAACTGGGGCCCAGACAGAGGTGCGGATGTTACCCAAAGTCACAAAGCATGCTTGGCAGGGCACTGGTCCCCAGGCTCTGGCAGACAAAAGGCGTTTTAACAGATACTAAATTCCAACATATTACTTAGTCTTTGGTATGCACTTCAGTTAGATGTTTTCGGGACTTACAGGTGCTGGTCCCCAAAGACGCGTTTCCCTTCTGCCTCTGGCCTGCCCCCCAACCATGCCACCCCTCCCATGGAGCTTGCCTCTGCAGCCCTTGAATGCAGCGGTGCCACGGCAAGTCCAAGCCCAGGCCTTAAGGGGACTGGCAGTGCCTACTTAGTAAACTGCCTCTGGGAACCTGGCCAGGGCCCAAGCCACGGAGCGGCCATGAGACAAGAGGCAGGTGCTCTGGTCTGGAGCCCAAGGAGCGGCCAGTGACTCGCAGCCATGCAGTGAGCCCCCTCGGGTGTCTGGAAATCCCACTGCCACCCCGGCTGACCTCACGGGGAGCAGAACTGCCCAGCAAAGCTGTCAACACAGAACGCGAGATGATAAAATAGCTGTGTTTTAAGCCACTGGGTTTTGAAGTATATGTTTTTTCCCAGTCGTAGAGAACTGACCCAGTACTGAGTTCATTTTTTTACTTCATTTAGGCTTCTGAAGGACCGAAGAGCCAATATATAAAATCTCAGAAGGGTGTTAAACGACGGGGAAGTGGAACAACAAGCTCTTAAAATGTCACATTCCATAGAGAACTTTGAGGTGTCATCACAATGACAGAATGTTAATACGGAAGCTTAGACCTTTGTCTCAGCTCCTCAAGTACTAGACCTGGCTCAGCTAGGCCACTGTCCTTGCTCTCCAGAGGAGGAAACGGGCCCAGGGGGACAGAGGGACTCACTGAGTCAACAGAGGGTGGGGACCAGAGCCCAGCTCCTCGGCTCTCCCTGGCGTCACGCCTCCACGTGGCTGGACTGCGGCTGTGACGTGCACACACGGTGTTTCTGGAACCTGGGCGTGTGGCTCTGGAGAGGGAAGCTGCTGCATGATTCGGTCAGAGCAGAGGCAGCAGAGGCACGTGCTTGTGGGATGGGGAATTCTGGAGCCGGAAGGAACTCTCAGTGCCCTCCAGTCCCTCCAACCCCACTTCACGGGGACTGGGATCCAGAGACAGAGGGAAGCAGCTGCCCGTGCATCCAAGTTCTCCCTGTGTATCCCACCTGCTGTTTACACTTGTTCAGAGTCAAGGTGAGCAGGGGAGGGCATTTATTGTGCCCCCAAACCTTTACCTTACCAGATGCTTAAGGAGCACCTGCCCTACAATGGTGTCCTGGGGACGCAGGGACAAGGCCATTGTCCTTGCAGGAGCCCACAGTCCCCTGGGAGAGGAGGGCTAAGTCAACAGTCACCTTGGGGTGCAGTGGGGTTTGAGGACAGAGGAAGTGAGCTCTCCAGAAGGTAGGATGGGTGGGAGTCGGGAATGTCTTTGCAGATGAGGAGTGTACTGGGACACGTGAGGACATGTGCAGGGACTCTGTGGGTCTTGGGGACAGTGCCCCCCATTCCCTGTTTCCAGCATTGTAGTCACTGACGATCCCAGGATGGTGGCCCAGACCTGCTTCCCCCTGCTTGTTTCCGCTCCCCTCAGGGCAGTGGAGTGGCTGCCTCTCAGGCAGGGACAGGGTGGTCCTGGAGTGACCCAGGGCCATCTGAAGGGCACCGCTGGACTTTATATCTGTTTTAGGGCAAACGTTGCTCACTCTGGTCATGACCTCTGCCCCCTGATGCACTGCAGGAGTACTTGGGTGTCAACAAAGACAGTAAAATCTGAACCCTGCCCGGGAGCCTACCAGCTAGGTTCCCAGGCTGCAGGCACAGGCCTTTCCAGACACAGCTGCTCCCACGTGCCCCATCTGACTAGTGTGTCTGGGCCCCATGTTCACATGGACGGAAAAGCAGACCGGGGGCTCCTGACACATGAGCCACGGGCACCTAACTGCAGCCTTAGCGGTCCATATTCACAGAGTTCTTCCGCCTTGCCTTTCATGGTCCCGGCCCCTCGTGCAGGTTAGCCACTCCGCTTCCATGCAGATTTTAGAATAAATGTATCCAGTTCCTTGAGAAGCCCTGCTTGACTTTGGTGGGAATAATACTGAACTTACACATTAGAGGAAACTAGCATTCTTACAGTGTTGAACCTTTCCAACCCAGCCACTAACATGAAACATCTGTCTACTCTGATCTCCCTTCACGTGTGCCAGTGAAGTCAATGTAATTTTTTTCTACTTAAGGTTCTGGCACATATGTAGTTTTATTTGCAGTTTTTTATTCCTATTGTGAATGTAATCTTTCAAAATAAGGTTTACCAGCCAGTCGTTGCTGGGGTAGCAGAGGACTCTGGAATTGAATATGTTTATCTTCGATCTAGAAGCCTGGCTGACCTCTTCATTATCAGCTCTCATGCCTTTTCCACTGATGGTCTGAGCTGGTTTATCATATGATGATTATATCTTCTACCAAAAAAAACCTGCCATATTTATATTCTTTCCATCCTTATGCTGCTTACTTCTCTTCTCGTTGCACTTCCCTATCCAGGGCCTCCAATAAAACATTGACTATGAAGGGTGTGGTGCCATTTCATCTTGTTCTGGATTCTAAGAAAGTGTTTTCACCATTAAATAAATCGTTTGCTGTAGGTGCCATACAGTTGTTGGATGGGTGCCATACAGTTGCGAAAGGATTAGGATTTTTGCATATAATGTTTCAAGTGACACTAGACCATGTTTTCCTGTCTGGCCGCTATCCTGACCCAGTTTGAGTGCCATGGTAATCCTGGACTGGTATGAAGTGTCTGTTTGAGAGTTTACGAGAGGCTTTGTTTGCTTGTAGAAAGTCCGCTCTCATAAGGCCCTCCTTTCCCCAAGTTCGGAATCATTTGGGATTCTCCCTCCTCACCTAAGCTGTTCCCACTGGTGTTGGCCGATGATTCTTGGTAATTCCCACTCCTCCCTGTCAACAAAGAGATGAGCAAATAAATGACCCAGGATGTGGAGGAAGTGTGCACACCTCTGCTGGCTGCTGGGTCTGCTCATCAGGAGCCCTCGGGCACTCGCTGGGATTGGCATGTAGACTCTGAAACAAGCACCTCTTCTCCAGGTTTGCTAGGCCAAGAGTGACTAAGAGGCTGCCTGGGATCCTGTTGCCCAGAATGGGGATAAGACCCACCGCTAGAGTGGCAATGCCGAGAGTCGAGCAGGGCGGACGGCTACACAGAGGCCCTGCTGGCAGTCTGCCCAGCCTGGGCAGAAGGGGGCGTCATCCCTGGGCCTCATGTTTATATGGGCAATGACTGTGCTTTTTGACTTAAGCTTCTTAATACTGTGTTTCTGCCACTTGGAACTGGAAGACTCATCTGATACATCTTTCTACATATTTGCTACTAGAGAGAAGGATTCAGATGCTCAAAAAGACACCATAGGCATCAGCGATAATATGCCTCCTTCAGATGCTCAATTTGTATTCTAATAGCTGATGGAGTATTGAAACATAACATTAATAACAAGTGAGTTCTCACTCTCAATTCACAGCTAAACTGTCAAAGGGAATCTTATTCAATATTCCACCAGAACACTTTCAAGGGGCAAACATGAATTTTAGGAGAGAAACTTGCAAACTGGTATGAATTCTAAAGACGAAATCTAAAATGCAAAGAGAACAATAATTTAAGCAATAACTCAGGTTATGGCTTTTTCTTGCTGCAGATCCATTTTTTGCCCTGGGCCATGGACTCTACATTCCCAAGGAGACTCAGTGTCATAATCAGGGAAGAGAGAATGACCTTTCATCTATCTCTCTGCAGTTTCATGCTATTCCATAGCTTTGTACCATTATCCCTTTTGCTGCTTCTTGGACTAGAATTCTAATTATGTTCTCCTGATAATGCCACACATTGTCATGGAAATGATGGGGATCACAAATGAGAAACATACATTCTCTAACAGTAAAGATGACCTATGGAGAAATCTGGGTAATTAGGCTCTCTGTGCAGATCAGAGATGGAGGGGAACATGGAGGGCATTGATCTTGGCCTGGACGTTGACACAGACAACACGAAGATCCCAAAAGTTTGCTTTTTAAAAAAATTATTAATTTCCAACCTTACTCCAAAAAGGATTAAAAGTGATTGGCAAAATACATATAGTGAAGTTAAAAATAACTAAGCCAGGGGGCAGAGCCAAGATGGCAGCGTGAGCAGTTTAGTGGAAATCTCCTCCCAAAAACATATATTTATGAAAATACAATAAATACAACTATTCCTAAAAGAGACACCAGTGGATACAGTACAACAGCCAGGATACATCTACATCTGCGATAACTCAGCATCACATGAAGGGGGTAAGATACAAGCCGCGGCCAGGCAGGACCCAAACGTTCTCCCACCCCAGAACTCCGCAGGAAGAAGGGAGTCAGAATGGGGAGGGAGTGAAAGCCCAGGACTACTAAACAACCAGCTGTAGAAATCCACACCCAGAGCACAGACACAAGGTGCACTGGGTGCTGGATATTACAGAAATGGAAAAGCAAAACCTGTGGGCAGGTCCCCGCAACCAGCGCCCCTGAGACAAAAGAAAAGCGAGTGCTTTCTGCAAGTCTTAAAGAGACAGGGACCCCACAGCTGGATGAAGCCGTCCCGGCACACTTAGCCAGCAGCTGGGAATCCCGGGGAACTTTAGGCGCCCCAACCCCCTGGGGTACAGCGCAGCTCTGAAGCCCCTCATGGCACTAAGAAGCCTACCAGTCGTTCCCCCAACCAGCATGGATCCCGACACACCGGCCCAGTAGTGGGAGAGTGACAGCGCACGCTTGGGGTGGCGGTACCAGAGAGGACTGGGAGCGGCACATGTAAGCCCGCCATGGCAGCAACCAAGCAGCC